TGTAAATAAACCGAGGGGGGATGAGAGAAAAGGGAGAGGAGAGAGACGCTCGTAAAATCGTAAAGAGAAGGAGGAAGGAAAATGTAGAAAAGGGGTGGAAGCCGTCGTGAACCACTCGTAAACTGTATCCAGTGTAACCTGTGCTGTTAGATATCTTATCTATAGGAAGCTACGAGTTTTTGACTAGGGAGAAAGCAAGAAATTATCCCTCTGCTTGGTCTGTCTTCTGCGAAAACTTGGCGAAAATCTTCCAATCTATATATATATATATAGAAAGAGAGAGAGTTGTAACATCGTAAGTGGGATCGTAAAACGGTTGGAATTTCAGAGAGGACAAGGGTTCTCCTTTTAATCCCCCGTTCAGATCTTGTCTCGCCTTTCTTTCTATCGGTGTTAACCTAGTAAAATCGTTATCTTTCGACAGACTCTAAATACTTGCTTCGTGTCCAAGTACACTTCAAGTATAATATCTCGATCTCGAGATGCGATTTTTTAAATCAAATCGTGAATTCTAATTATTTTGTAAATTAAAATCCCTCGTCAATTTTTTCTCGAGCAAGTGGAAGAAGCAGAAGACTCATCTATATTGGGAAAAGTTCGCGAAAATACACTTTGAAAGAGAGTCGAATAGCTGATATTCAAACGAAACATTTATCTTGGACGAAAGTAGGATAAATAAAAACCGATCGATAAAGAAGAATAAAATATTTTTTAAAACGATCGAAATCGAAAAGATTATTTTTACTGTATTTATCGTATTTATTTTATACGTTCCTCACGTACCACACGCGATTGTATAAACTTCTGATTAAAGGGTGAAGATCCTCCGATTATTACTATCACTCGAGAAAGAAAATCGGTTGAGACCGACTCGCGCCTCGAAATACCTTGTAATTTTCCACTTTCTATTCGATCTGAGCTAATTAATTTACCTCCAATTAATTACCGACAATTGCTCCCGCTCTAATTACGCGCGCTCGATTAGAATCTAGGAAAGTTTACGGGCGAGCAGGGCGATCTTAACGTCTCTCCTTTCGCATGTGATTTCTCCTCTAACGATAATAGCCGCCTAAATGCACGAAACGAAATCTTCAACTTATCTCGAATACACACGCATATATACAAAACATTCGACGTTTTATACTCGTCTTCTACATTCTTCGACTCGACGAGTGATCGCCGAGGATGGATTTGGTGTAGCGTGGCCGCGAAAACCGCGACCGCTAAATTAACTTCACAGTTTCTGATTCGCATTAATTGCTCGGCTCGGCTAATTAAGAAACGCGCGGTCTCGTTAGCGGCCGGTGAACAAGTTCGGCGGAAAGTGAGTTGGTCGAACGAGGGAGGGGGGAGTAAAAGAGAAAAAGAAAAGGAATTCGAATTCGTTTCGAGAGGATAGGTGTTGGGAAAATTGAAGTCGAGAGAAAGGAATAAATTTGTACAAGAATGAAAAAGAATCGTTAATAAGCGAATGAAAAGGATGGGGAATATTCGTGGAAAATGTAAGGCAAATGAGGCGATAACAGGGAAATGTATGTATTCGAGGATGTTGCACCCTTGCCAGGCATCGATCAAATTAATCCCATGCGAACTCGTTGTTTGCCATTTCCGACTGATGCGCGCCGATCCATCCTGCCACTCGCTTCATTCGCCCGTATGCAAATCGGGAAGGAGAATGATCGAGAGCCCCTAATCCGATCAAACATCTTTGTCGATTCGAAAACCTGCCTGTCACTGAGACGCGGCGACGAGTAACAGCGACGAGGTGCATTTCGATCGTTGAAACGAACCCACCATTTCTCTTTCTCTTCTTTTTCTCTTCCCCCTCTTTTTTTCTCCGACTTCTTCCGAGGAAGGATTCGATGGAAGAGAGAGAGAGAGAGAGAGTGAAAGAAAAAGAAGAAAAGAAGAAGCTATATGGCGGATGAAGGCCGCTTTGTAGAACGATATCGCTAAGTGGAAATCAGTGAGCGGGTGGCGCCTCCGCCCTCTGCCCTTAAGGGCTCCTCTCGTTCACGCTCCTGGAATCGCGACGGCGACCAGCTACCAGGAACTTGCTAACTTCATTAAAATATTGCCATCAACACCGGGCCCCATTGTCTCAGCGCTTAACCGGCCGATTAAGCCTGGCCGCCATCGTTCGAGTCGAGAACAGTAGCCGTATTTTCTTTACCCGTGTCGCAAAAACCCGCTTATATGCCTATATCGTGTCTATCGATGCATCCGTGCTATCCGTGCTATATCGATTCCTTGAAAAATTATCTTGCGAAATGATTCGAAACGCTTTTTCCTTTTTTTTTTCTTTTTTTTTTTTCTTTTTCTTTTGCGAGACGATCGAAAGATCGAATCGTTACGTAGTGTAGTGGGAATTACAGGGAAGGATAAATCTTGCGTGTTATTTGTGATAAAGTAAATATATATGTAATGAATAAGGAGGATCACAATTATGAGATAAGATTAATAAAATAAAATAATAGTGGAGGGGCGGGGGAGGGGGGGAGGGGAATGTTTCATGATGTTGAGAGAGTAACGATTGTTGGCATTTTGTATTTTATATTTGATCGTATCGACAATTCGAAGGAATATCGAGGGATAAAAAAAGGAGGGAAGAAGAAAAAGGAAAAAGGGAGATCGAGAAACGAGAAAATCCGCACCAGGAATTCTGAACGTTATGCACGTACGAACGACGATGGGTCTTAATGGCAGCGCAGCGGGCAAAACGGGATAACAAAGAGGCTTTAACTATGTCCGCGATGTGCTCGGTTGAGTGACGCAGGACACGAGCCCGCAAGCCCTTCTCTCCTCCTTTAAGAGACGAGAAAACGAGCACGCGTGAATACGTCGGCAGAACGAGCAACGAACACAGACCACGCACGTCGTACGAAGAAGCTGCTCGTTCCCGTACGGTTTTTTGTCACGGCTGTAATTGAGCCTGTCTCGTCGAGCTACCATTTAAATGAATTACGAGGCGCCGTGCACGGCACGAGTCTTCTCTTCGGAATCGTTCCGACTTTTTTCGGAAATCGTGACGATTCGAATCAATCGCAAACCACGCGTCTTTTTTCCGATATATTCCGCATCATTTTTTTCTTTCAAGCTTCTTCTTTCATTGGAAAAAAATTCGAGACTCCCGTGAATGTTAAGTAGAAAGCAGTACAAAGAATGCCTTTGTAATTATGATTCACAGTTCGTCGCTAATTAAGTACAGCCTGAAAAATCATATTCCGCGAAGAGGAATAGCAAGCGGGCGGCTTTATCAAAGAGACGAAGGAAATCGCAAGCTGGTTGCAATTAACCACCAGAGAAAAAAGGGAAAAAAGATTGCTTCCCGACAATCCTCTATAAATTTCCAACAAACGAGATTGTGACGCTTTCAAAATTTCAAAAGCATTTATTTCACTACCCCTTTTTTAATTTATAAATTTATAAATATAAAAATAATACAAATGAACGATATAAAATCTCTCGATTATTCGTTGCTTGATTCTTTCTAAAAATTTCAAAAGAATAACTAATACGATATCTACCGTAAATATTTGAAACTAATTACGTTTCAACTAAATCGATAACTTGTTATCGATTGCTACAGTTACCGACTACGAGCATAATGGTTCACGATATTATCCATATATTATTATTATGCGTGATATTATCCACGGAAAAAATTATTGATCGATAAAATTTTATTATAACGAATATACAAAAAGAAACGATAGATGGCGTTTATTATTTAAATTTAAATTTGCATCATAATCTTTTGATTTTATTATTTAAAAAAAAATATAATTTCTTCTATATATTACGCGAATTATGTAATTTCACAATAATTAAATATCAATCATAATCAATTAATTAAAATTATTAAGCAATTAATTAATTAAAAAATCGTATTATTATGAAAATTGTGATTTTCTAAAATTTCTATGATTGATAATTATCAAAAGTTATACTCAATTATGTCTTTTACAATTTTATCTTAATATATATTTTTATTATTTTTAAAAACTAATATATCAAATAAAAAGAATAAATAATTTTGCTTACATGCTTCCATGGTGGTTCATCAATATGTTTTCCACATTGTAACTTTTTCAATGCATCACCTATAATAATATTTATTATAATAAATCACAATTATACAAAATTTTTTTTAAAAATAATTCTAATTTTACACGATATTTATTCCTATTTCTTTTTTTTTTTTTTTTTTTATTTTAATTATTAATTCAATCATTAATAAATTCTCTAAAAAGAGAATTTTTTTTTTCTTTTTTTAAATTCTTAAAATATATACGAAAATTGATTGTACGTATAAAGTGTATATATGAAAATTTTTTGGACCGTTTGATTGATTAATGACAATTATTTATTATAATAATTATTATTTACAATGAAGAAGAAAACACTTACCATTATTGAAATTCATCAATGACGTAAATTCAAACACAAATTCAAGCACAAATTTCATTTTTGCAATTTAACATATGCACGAGATCTCTTCTTCTTGATTAAAAGTAATAAACTAATTTCGAAATGTTACTTGTCAAAGGCGTATTATTTTAGCTTTATGATTGGTTCGCCATATTTAGTAAAACCAATCACATTACGGATTAAATATTTGTGATTCGCTCGCCGTATCTAGCACAACCAATCACGTTACGGATTAAATATTTGTAATTCGCTCGTCGTATCTAACAGAACCAATCACGTTGCAGATTAAATATTTTTGATTCGCTTACCGGTGCTAGCAAATCCAATCATGTTACATATTATAGGTTAAATACTGGTATGATTGGCTTGCCATTGTCAATAGAATTAATCACTTTTTCAAATTTATACGTATAAAAATAGACCTAATTTAATAAAATATTTAATAATTCTTTTTTTTCTTACTTAATTTTAATTTAATAAAATCTTTATGATACAATGTTATTAAATTTTATTATCGTACAATTTATTCAATTTATTGTGTGCTATAATTATTATTGATATCGTGTAAACACGTGTATTACTTATAACCTAATTTATAATTTCTCGTTTTTATTACTTAAAAAATTAAAAATAAAATATATCTTAAAAAAATGTTACGAAGACAAGCAAGATTGCGTAGAGAATATCTGTACAGAAAATCAGTTCAAGATAAGTTAAAAAGCATCCAAGAAAAGAAGGAGAAACTCAAACGTAGTCTTGAACAAAATATACCAATACATCCAGATCTAAAAAAAGATGCTTTGAATATACAAAAGCAATTAGCTTGGGAAGATGCTGGACCAGAAATGGCTATTGCTATTGGAACCGAGATGGGTGGAACTTTGGGATCTCATGAAGATGATGAATATAGATGGGCTGGAGTCGAAGATCCAAAAATTGTGATTACTACTTCTCGTGATCCAAGTTCTAGATTAAAAATGTTTGTTAAAGAATTAAGATTGATATTTCCCAATTCTCAAAGAATGAATCGAGGAAATTATGAAATGAAACAATTAATACATGCCTGTAGAGCAAATGATGTTACAGATTTTATAATTGTACATGAACATAGAGGTGTTCCTGATTCTATTATTATATGTCATTTACCCTATGGACCAACTGCATATTTTACAATGTCAGATGTTATTATGAGGCATGATATTCCCAATATTGGAACGATGTCTGAACAATATCCTCATCTTATATTTCATAATTTTAAAACAAAGTTAGGCGAACGTGTTATGAATATTTTAAAATATTTATTCCCAGTACCAAAGGAAGATAGCAAAAGAATAATCACTTTTGCTAATCATGATGATTATATATCATTTCGCCATCACACGTGTAAAAAGATTCATGGAAAAGATATTGAATTGTCAGAAGTTGGACCCAGGTTTCAATTGAGATTATATGAAATTAAATTAGGCACCTTAGATGCAGAAGCAGCAGCTGATATAGAATGGGCGTTGAGACCTTACATGAATACTAGCCATAAAAGAAGATTTCTTTCTGATGAAGATGGATGGCAACAAGAAGATGATATTTAAAATTTTTATATCTTTCTATCAATTCCAACAAATGTTCTAACAATGTAAATAATAAATTTTTACACAAGATAATTTATTTTTATTATTTTTTAATAATAATATTACCTTTTAATAGTAAATTTTTCAGATGATCCATGAACTGTGAACAAAATAAAATATTTTTAAATTTCGCGCGTTATATTCTAAATGCGTCACCGTTATTGCGCAATGCATTCTGGTATTCTTCGTGGCAGTTGTTTTTAAAAACGTCTTGGAAATAAACTAAATTTGGCTTTTGGGCGAGAATTTCTATTGGAAAAAGTGTTAAAACTTTTACAAATGCATTTGCATCGAAAGAACGAAAACTTATTAGCGCGTGATGCACGCCAATGTTCGTAAGCCCGCGAAATCTGAGAAGACGCCGCGGCGCAAGAAGCTCGTAGAGCAACAAAGCAACGCTATGGATATGTTCGTGACACCAAAACGTCAGAAAAATGACGGTGAGATCAGTTTTTATTTCATAGGGAAACACATTTGGTAGATCAGTTGCTTGTTTGCTCGTATCGCTTGCAGTATTCCGCATGATTTGCGCGCGTTCGTAGCAAATTTATCAATTTCCTTGCAATATTTACTCCTTACAATTTGCGTTTTGGTTACTAGCGCTTTTGTCCGTAGCGGAGAATCATTAAACTAATGATGTGTACAATTCATTCGTGGTTAGGTATTTTAAATTTAAGAAATTTCATGAAATAAACAGGCTTTGATGGCAAAACAATTCTATGATTAAAATAAAATATTATTCGAATGAATCATAATTGTTATAATACTCATAATTTCAAGTAGTTGTAAAACTCGTCATGTTCGTTTCAAAGTGTTCTATACCTATGTATTATAAACATACAGAGACTTCTTTGTATGTATATGTAATAAAAATTTATGTGACACATAATACGCGTCCACGAGATTTAATGATTGATTGTCATATTGATTTAAGAGAATTTCAAGATATATTAGGAATATTATAATTCAATGTTCTGATACCTATGCACACTTTTTATATAAAATTTGCATAAAAACAATGATCTTGAATCCTAAAAAGTTAATAAGAGTGGTAGTTAGACCTTACAAGTATTTTGGTCTCTTTCTCTTTCTTGGCAAGGTGCAGTCCGCTTTATCTTTCAGATCTAGAGGTCACGGGTATCTCCCGAAGTGGCCGTGTGAGAAAGAAATCTTCCAAACTCGTTGACTTTGAATCACCAGATGATTTTACGGATAACAAGTACAAACGTCAAAAAGCACAGCAATTACAAAATCAACAATTGTTGGACAGATATGAGTCCCAACATATATCATCAAATCAATCTATTCAACATGGAAGTGGTGGAAGACAAAGGAAAAATTCTAATTCTAACTCTGGACAGCAAAGAATTAAGCAAGAGATATTATCAGATAATGAAGGGCAATCTTCAGCATCAGAATCAGATGATCCCTCTGGATTCAATGAAGATGACAGATATAGTATGGATTCTGGAAGCGATGATGATGTAGATCCTCTTATGATAGATGATAGAGAAGCAGGGTTTAGAAAACTTGAACCACCTGGCCAAGAAACACCTTCACAAGCAAATAGTTTGTATATGCTTGAGAAATGTAAGAAAAAATTAATTATTAAAGATGGCAAAATAATAGGTAGAATGAAGGCACAACGTAAAGACAAAGGGGTATGTACACATGAAAGTTATTAAGGGGATTATTTCACAATTCGATGATGTTTTCAGAAAACGAGATTTACCGCGTACATGTTGTGGGCTAAAGAAATTAGGCAAGAATTACTAGAGCAATGTCCTTATATGGGTATATAAGCTTCACTTGTTTCTCCATATTAAAATCTAGATTAGAAATTCGACGCTAATGTTACTCGTGAAACATTGCTTTTTGTAGATTTTGCAGCAATTTCTAAACGGTTAGGAGAACTATGGGCTACAGTACCAAATCTGGAAAAATATAATTGGCGCAGACGCGCAAAACGCTTGGCAGCAAAACCTCATTCTTTACCTGCGAGTAAAGATGAGCCTGTTTGGAAAATGCCGCCACCTGCTTCGCGAAAAAAATTCATTAATAAAATTGGTGGGTTTGTTGGTTCTCATGTATACATCATTTTTACAAGTATATCTCTAAAAGTTATGTGGTAGTTTATTCATCTTAATTTGCTTCTCGTGCACGCGTATTAGTCAAAAGTCTCTCAGATAATATTGTTTTTATGCCTAAGAATTATATGGTAGATGTCTCATTATCATTTGTTTTACATGCATGCATCTCGTATAGAAATAGGCAAACTGAATAACACGATGACGTTGTAATGTTTTATGTTTCGTCTTTTTTTGTCTTATAGGTAATGGAAAAGATCAAAAGCCCGCTACTTCCAAAAAAACTATTCAACTAGGTCTACCCTCCGTTGTAGGAAATGTTCCGGTATCACCGCCATCGAATCGAAGTGGTAAAGATTTGGTTAACGAACCAATGATAGGAACAGGAATGTACAAAGTTGTTGGAACTCAACCTATCGATGTAGCTGCGCATCTAAAACTTCTCGGTGAGAGTTTAACAATCATCGGTGAACGATTGAAGGAACATGATGGCCAAATAGCAGTATCAGGCAGTCTATCGGTTTTACTGGATTCTCTGCTTTGTGCACTGGGTCCTTTAATTTGTCTAACGCAACAGGTACCAGAAACTAATGGAGCTAAACACGAAACACTTTCGCAAATGCTTGACAATATTGCATATCTTATGCCTGGTTTGTAATATATGTATAAATATTCATAAAATAATCTAGTAATATATAATGTAAATACAAAAATTGACAAACATAGTTATTAAAATTATAAAATTAATGAATAATAGAAATTAAGTTATATAGCTTTGTTTGCTAAAGAAAGAGTTTAGAGTCAAATATTTGTTATATTTTGTCTGCTTATAAAAATATTAAATTTTATATAAATAATATGTTTGTACAAAAAATTATAATAAATATTTAAATAATTCTATAACTAACTGTACAAGATAAACAAGTAAAACTTATTATTGATCTGATAAAATAGGAGGACATGTACAGAATAGATTTTTATCTCCATATGTATCATCTATTCTCCCAACACTTGGCCAAATCTTGTTATTTCCCTTTACAAACGGCTGTAAATAATAAATAACTTATTTATTGTTTTATTTTATTATAAATATTGAATACTTACAGCTGGAAATGCTGCCAATTCTCGTGAGTATGGTCTATTCCACGCACTTGAGATTACTTGCTCTTGAGTGTGTGGTGCCATTTTCAGTGGATTTTTAACAATATCTAATTTACCATTTTCTATATCATTAATTTCTTCTCGTATATCTAAAAAATAAAACTTATTAATATTTGTTAATGATTTCACAAATAAAAAAAAATCTTTAAGAAATATAGTATTCTTACATATTAGAGCATTGCAAAATCTGTCCAATTCTTTTTTATCTTCAGATTCAGTTGGTTCAATCATTAATGTACCTGCTACAGGCCAACTCATTGTCGGAGCGTGAAAACCATAATCCATTAATCTTTTAGCGATATCTACAGCTTCGATATTTGCCGTTTTCTTAAAATCCCGTATATCCAAAATGAATTCATGCGCTACTAATCCTGTCTTTCCTTTGTATAAAGTTTTATAATATTTCTCTAATCTTTTACTCATGTAATTAGCATTTAGGATAGCAACTTGCGTAGCTTTTCTTAATCCTTCTGGACCCATCATTTTAATATAAGCCCAAGAAATTGGTAAAATAGCTGATGATCCGAAAGGAGCAGCTGATACCGCACCAAATTGTTTTATATTGTTATGATTATTACTCGAATAATTAATTATAGGATGAGATGGAAGAAAAGGTGTAAGATGCCGTTTACTGTAATCCAAAAATTATTTTTATTATATTCGCAAATATTAAATTATTTAATCAAAATACTAAATTATTACTTACACTCCAATAGGTCCCATTCCAGGTCCTCCACCGCCGTGAGGTATGCAAAACGTTTTATGCAAGTTAAGATGTGAAACATCGCTACCGTAATCACCTGGACGACACAATCCAACTTGAGCATTCATGTTGGCTCCATCTAAATACACTTGACCACCAGCTTTATGAATCATAGTACAAATATCGGCAATAGTCTCTTCAAACACTCCATTTGTTGATGGATATGTTATCATTAAACAAGATAATGTATCTCGATATTTATCTATCATTTCCGCCAAGTGTGAAATATCTATGGAACCATCTTTCTGTACAAGAATAGGCTTCACTTGCATACCAGCCATTTGGGCAGAAGCAGGATTAGTACCATGAGCAGAAATAGGAATCAAGCAGATTTGTCGATGATTATTTTTATTCGATTCATGATAACGTTGTATAGCTCTTAGACCAGCATATTCGCCTTGAGCTCCACTATTTGGTTGAAAACTTATGTTATCGTAACCCGTTATAGCGCATAAATCTTGTTCCAATTCGGCAAATAATTGATGATATCCTTTGGTTTGTTCAATAGGAACGAATGGATGTATATCTGTAAATCCACGTAAACTACAAGGCATCATTTCCGTAGTTGAATTCAGTTTCATTGTACAAGATCCCTGTTGAAATAATTAAATTCAAGAATATAGTTATTTCAAAAAATAGTACACAAAATTCTTTTTCATGTGATCTTTACCAATGGTATCATACTATGTACGAGGGACACATCTTTATTTTCTAAAGATTTCATATAACGAACTATTCTTGTTTCGGATTGATAACTATTAAATACAGGATGTTGTAAGTATGGCGTACAACGCGCGAAATGAGATTTGTTTAAATTTTTATTAAAATATGCCTTTTCGTTACATATTTCTTTAACGGTCATTTCTGTAGAGAATATTTTAAAGATATCATTTATATCTTGTTCCGTAGTAGTTTCATCTAGAGATATCCCGATTCCATCCTCGTAATATCTGGAAAAGATAATATCTTTATTTTTTCATACTAATAT